TAATATATATGTATATATACGATATACACAAGCCATGTGTAAATATATTTAAATAGGCATGCATAGTTTAGTTCAATTGAATGTGTTATTTATAACAATAGTAGTTTTTTCTTTTAAAAACTATTTTTTATAACTATTTATAATGCTCCCTAAATAATAAAAAATAAATTATAGTAATGGATGAGAGTGAAAAAGTTTGTAAATACACGACGATCCCTGTTTAATGTGGAGCAGAATAAGGCCGTTTCAGGCCTAACTTTAACAAATAAAAAATCGTTTTTGAGTGCTTGCTTTGGATCCAAATGTGCAATGCGCTTGACCAATCATAGCGCTTAATACAATTAGCGTCGGTAATCGCCTAATCGGTATTTCAATTTTCATTTGATACTCGGCAGTCTGGCCACGTGCTTACTGTCAAGTTGGATGCGTCACCGAAAGCCGAAGTACCGTATCTTAGGTCCTCGAGAGCAAAATAGTTGTTTCTTCATTTTTCGTTCTATTTTTTTCACCTCTTACAATGTCTAAAGAAAAGAGACTGTCATACACAGCTAAATTTAAATTAAGTGTGATTAATTATGCAAAAGAGCATGGAAACAGAGCTGCCGAAAGATATTTTGGTCCTCTACCAACAGAAAAAATGATTCGTTGCTGGCGCGAACAAGAAAAAGAATTGAAAATGATTAACAGTGATAAACGCAATTTCCGAAGAATAAACAAAATGGCAAGATCTAGAAAATAAACTGTACGAATGGGTTGTGGATCAGAGAAGACAAGGACTATCCGTTTCTACAAATATGATAATTTTTAAGGCAAAGAGGATTGCATGTGATAATAGTTTAGAAGATTTTACTGATCATACATCGTGGTGTTATCGGTTCATAAAACGCAAAGGCCTAGGTCTGCATGTGGGTGAAGAATTCGTGGGAAAAAGTAAGAAGTAGTATAGTGATTAAGTCATTTAGGAAATGTGGTATCAGTAACGCAATGGACGGGACCGAGGATGACATTCTCTTTGATCATAATATTTGATCCAATGATTCCTTTCCAAGCGACAGTGAAAGCAATGATGATTTTGAACCAAACTAAATAACAGTAAACCTTTTTTTGATTTACGGTATTTTCTTATTTTGATGTTTGAGCTCTTTTGTGTTTAGAACACTATATACTAATTTTTTAAAGTATCAAATTGAATTTTTGTTAAATAAAAATCTTTCAAATGCAACTGTAGTTCCCCCCCCCCCAAAAAAAACAACTTTGTCTTCAAAACAAGGGTGCGTCGTATATTCCGAAAAATACTGTATATGTTATTTACAGCTTTTAATTACCGCCATAATTACATAATCCAAAGGCTTCGACACCATAGTAAGAGCGCCCCCAAGTGGTACAGCAGTATGTCTTGGGAATTACATCGCCAGAAACCTGGTTTCGATACCCGTGGTGGGCAGAGCAAAGATAACCTATTTTGTAGTTGTGTGCTTAACTACAAACAACCATAGTAAGAAAATACAACCAACTTATATGAACACCATTCACATTTTATTAAGTTACGAATAAAAAATACATTTGATAAAATAGCTAATTCTCAAACAAGAAAAAAGTAATAAAGAAACGAATGGTAATATACAAATGTAATTTTTTTTCTCCATTCTTATGACCATATTATTCCTTTTTTATATAACATACTGTTATTACATCATCTACAAAGCTGACTAGTTGATGATAACGGCTAGCTGCATACAATTAATTTCAGAAGAAACCTTAAGAGGGTTTGTGGCTAAATGTGAATCACAAACGTAGGCTCTGTTGAATTCCAACATTTCAGGAGTCAGAAGGTCGCCTAAGCCTGTGGAAACTTTTGGGTTTTTAAATTTTCAAGAGTTAAAATCAACATTTATACATTTTAAAGGTGGATTCTAAATTCCAACATTTCAGGAGTCAGAAGGTCGCTTAAGCCTGTGGAAACTTTTGGGTTTTTAAATTTTGAAGAGTTAAAATCAAAAATTATACATTTTAAAGGTGGATTCTAAATGCTTATTATTTAACTGTATGTAAAACGAAAAACAAAAATTTTTCTCAGATTAGTTTTGGTACCAATAGTATTGCTCATAAGTCAAGGTCGAGTAGGGCCGGATAAAATTAATACGGCACTGCTTACTACAGTTGATTAATAACAAAACGATAACTTAATAAAGGGACCTTTAAATTGGTATTTGCATGTGCGGCCGTTAGCACCTCTCTAAGGACGCCTCTGATTAGTTTACAAGACTTTTAACTCATTATTATTCACATACATAGTTTATTAAAAATAATGACATTTTCAATACATCAATATTGTTGTTTTCCCCTACAAAGATTTTAGCTTTCAAATGATTATTACATTCGAAATAAAAGTTTTACAGAATAATTAAAACGTATCGTTTTACATACTGGGCAGGAATTGAAATATATATAATATGATGCACTAACATTACTTGATAAAATCAAATTCTGCACAGGCATTTCAAAATGTATCATGTTACACACTGCCAGATAATACCTATCCTAGGATAGAGAATGAAATACAAGAGAAGATTTATAGGCCATTAACCATAATTTATTATCATTATCATAGAATCCATTATCAGTGGTGAGCTTTCAGAAGATCTGAAACTACCCAATGTGACAGGGTTTTTAAGGGGAGATAGACAATGTTCAACTCGTTATGAATCTGTTGATTTTAATTCAGTGGTTGGAAAATTACTAGTTTGTAATTAAATAAAATCAAAATCATTTAGAAAAGTTTCATATAATAACAATCAGTCAGCATGGATTTAAACAGGGAATATTATGTCTTATGTTTACTTATTTTTTCAAAATTTTTTTATATTTAATATAGGTATGGGTAACCCAGTAGATTTAGACTTTCAGAAGGCTTTTATCAAGTGTGAGACTATCTTAGAAATATTACATCTGTTGGAGTAGGAGATAAGCTAATTCAGAAAGCTCTTAACAAGTTACTACGTGGTACAAGGCAGAAAATTGGTAATGGGGTGAAATAACAGTAGGTTAATGTTACAAGCGGTGACTTTCAGGATTCTACATTTAAGTTCTTTGCTATTTCTCATTTTCATTAGCAACACTGATAATTTTTAAGTTTTCAGAGCATACTAACAGGTATTTCAAATTCTGTTGAACTTACTGTAGTTTTGCAGAGATAATTAAACTATTTGATAAACTGGGCTAATATTTGGCAGATGCCTTTTAAAATTAATAAAAGTACAGATATGTATTTTGATTATTACATATCATGTTACATATTGCCATTGCTTTAGGAAGTCAAATTTTACTTAGGCATCTAAAAGTATCCTCTTACATAATACTATAAGGTAAGGAAGCCAAATTCTCTATAGGAATTCAGATGTATTATGTTTAATTTTTATAAGGTGTCAAGGTCTGCAGAAAGACACATACAAAATCTAAAAAATTAACCTAACACAACCACTGTTATATATTTTCAATGAAAATATTCAGTACTTACATATAATACAAAGGATTATCAATAACATAACATTCTTATTACAACTTATGATTTAAATCATCATCTCATGCAGGGTGTCCATTATGAACAAGTTAAATTCTTGGTGTTAAGTAAGTTGCATTGTGTAAATGTGTACCCTGTATCATAATGAAGTGGTTTGGGTGTGTCCCTTTTGTCTAACATGTTTGGATATTAATATTTTATTAATTTCTATACTACATGGCTGACACTAAAGAAGTTTAAGGGCTGGGTGCAAATCACAAACGAGGGACTTGCTTGGGGCAAGAGAACTGAGGTTAGCAACAACCTTATATAATTATGTGGGTGTCTGTGGTATTGTATTCAGGGTCATCATTGCTGTATTTTATATAGTCACGTAATTTAATCCAAACAATTTCTGATGGTATAGTAAATAAGTTTGCTGTTGTTAGTCAGAAGAAGGCTTATATTGCCAAACTATCTTGAACATACACATTTCAGAATATTCACAGGATTCCACAGGAATTATGAAAGATATCAGAATCACACTTAATGATGCAGAATTTCCCCTTAAACAGTTATACATACATACCTATAGCCTTTCAAAGCTTATTACCTGAAGATTATTTATAGAAAATATTTCCCACCATATTACTAATCTAGATTAATGTGCCTTTAAAATAAAATAAAAATCATTTCAGGGCTTCAACAATAAATATAGGTTGAGTTAGGATAGTTAAACTTCCAGTTTGGAACACCTATTTATAAATAATAATAATAAGCATTTAACAAGGGAAACGTAAAAAATGTTTCTATGTCAGAGATGGGTGCATTAGACTGGAAAGTCATGAGGCCATTCCTAATTCACCAAAACACAGTATGTAGGAGAGAAAATATTCAGTAAAATACAATAATTACACTGAATTTCAGTAGTAATATGAATAGGGTTACCAGATATCCAGGGTGAAAAACTGGGAGATTTGTTTTTCCATACAGTGACACTTTAACAGCTCTGAAATACTATGGATTACAATAAAACACTTTTTACCATTTGCTAAATAATCTATGTTTATTGCATTATGTTTCAAAACCATAGATAAACAAAATAGGTTAAAAGCTAATATTGGTAAATATAATCATAAAATAAAAACTGAGCCTAAGTTTTCTTGAACATATTTAAAAGAAAAATGTTACTTCTTCATTTTCTTTTTCACAGCTGGACTGATCTCAATTCCTGCAGCTTCCCAATGACAGGTTAGGTTAAGAAAATGTAGCAGAGAGGGAAGGAACGCTGTACCATGTGACCTGTCTTTATCAGATGATTCTCCAAGTAAAATTTAAAGGAGCCATGTATAATGACAAACTGTACATATCAAACTCACATTTAGGCACAGACAAACTGGGAGAATTTAATACTTTTACTGTTTCTGATTAGGTAAAAAAAAAAGTCTAAAATCTGGGACATCAGGAAATCATAAATATGAATCATGCTTTAGATTTCCAAGTTTCAGGCAGTAAAAGTTATGTACATGTAATACTGACATTTGTCTCTTGTTTAAATATCATTTTCTTGAATTAGTTTTAATACCGTATTTAAATTAAAAAAATTCCCAAAACTTAAATGTAGAAATGTTATAAACTACTCTAAAGCTACATACACATTTCATATATCACATTTAAAATTATTTATTAATAATAAAGGTATTATTTACAAATACTATCTCACAGAAAACTTTCAAAAGCAGTCAGCTTTGGGATTATTAGTTATAAGTCAATATTTAAAAATTACAAGCCTAAGAAACATGCTGTCACATCAAAATAAACACTGTCTTTTTTTTAAACAATTAAAACTCACAACATCCAACTATACTGCATATTTAATAATGTAATGCTTTAATACATTTCTCGAATACAAGCTTTTCTGCATCACCAGTATTGATGGTTTTACAATCTTAACAGTATGTTATTAGTAAATATCACAATAATTAAATTATGCTAAGTCTGACATATGTCACAATATATGTATATACATACACACTATATTATTCTTAACAAATTTTGAACATCATTTATTTTATAAGTCTCCTATCAATATTAAATTCAAGCAAATATGTACACTTATGTACCAAATTCATTAATTATACAATGCCCTGAATAGTGTAACTGTAAAAGTTACATTTCATTCAGGTACAGGACATAAAAACTAAACTATTTTAAACTAATTTAAATTATTATTAACAGCTGAAGTGGTAGAATGCAATTTTCTGAATAACACATTTTGAAGCAATTTCATAAATCAGTTCATTCTAAATATATTTAACAAATAATATCCACTGGTTCATTCCATTTTATATTCGTTTTTTACATAATTATACCAACTGACTCATTTCACGGGTAGTTCTATCGCAATGAAAACCTCTATGATCTTTATGGACTGCCACTGAAATTTGTCTTTGTTATTCTTAACACTGGAAGAAAAGTGGATCCACATTATTACATAAATAACATTTAGTTTTACTCCTGCAACATTCAAGCACATTCAGTTTTTTTAGTCTTTTTTTTATCATTTGGTCACTACTGAAAATAAAATATATATATATATGTAAAAATGAGATGGATTTTCCATAACTTTTTTAAGAAGTTTATGACTGCACATTGCAGTAATGAATATTTCACCATTGTACATTTTTCTTTTGATCTTCATACATTATATCCAGTATGAGAGTTATTACAAACTAGACTGTAAGAGGGAGGGGCTGTATTAAAGTAGAAAGAATGTGTCTCATTTTCTGAATCAGTAAATACTGAATCACTTGGCTTTTTCCTCTTATCGTCATTTTTGTCTGCATTACATGCTCCGTTCATAAGCAAATAATCAACTTTACTTTTAATGTTAAGGGTATCTAATTCTTTCTCTTCCTCATCCTTTGGACCAGCAGATGCTATTATATCATGCCATGTATCTCCCACTGATTCCAACTGAATCATAGGCACAACTTCCATGGGTTCTTTTGGAGGTGGACCATCTCCTACAGGTCGAACTGTACCAATGTTGTCGTAATGGTTTGGAGGATGTGGCAACCCAATTTCCACAGCTTTGGAAACATCTTGATCTTCTGACTTCATGTTCATATAGTCTATAGTTGTTCCATCCATTGTCAAGTAATCATTGTTATTCTGAATTGTTTCATTCATCATTTCATAAGGATTATTCAACTCAACATAGTACTGAAAAAGATAAGTCAAAATATAGCAGTACAGAAGTGCATAAGCATTTCAGACTAAAAGTAATTTTCATTATTAAATAAAGATGTTCTTGTGTTCAAAATTTTATTAATTTATGACAGTCTAACATTTAATAAAATAAGCATGATTTAGCTTACTCTAAATATGTTATATGAATCCTAGATATAAGTGACCAAAAGGTTAAAAAGATGCTAAATATAAAAGTCCTTCATAAGTGATGTGAGCAATCCAAATTTTCATTGCAATAACTCAGATTAATAACTAAACAAGCTCTATTCAACATCAAATGTATACACCTGGAAAAAAGTTAAGC